CATTGAGTCGTGGATTGGGCGAGTGCCTACCGGCGTGTATACCCGTATATCAACGCGGGTTGCTGGTCAAAGGCTCCGTCCTAATAGTCCGACCACAGCCTAGTCCGGTCTAGATGACTTGATTGAGATGCTGCGGTGGGTTGTGCTCGAGTCGTGGCTTAATGACATTATACACGCTCGGGAAAAATCGCACCTATCGTATGCCTCAGGCGTGAGCCTAGGTGAAGCAACCACAGGCGCAGATCTTGGTGGTAGTAGCAAATATTCAAGTGAGAACCTTGAATGCCGAGGTGGAGAAGGGTTCCATGGGAACAGCAGTTGACCATGGGTCAGGCGGTCCTAAGTGATCCGGTAAATCGGAACAGAGACGGGGTGCCTGACATTGTCCGTTCGCGGGCTTTGTTCAGTAATCTGCAAAGTACTGTTGCACTGCAGCCCCCTGTAGCGAAAGGGAATCGGGTTAATATTCCCGACCCTGTACACGGAGATTGGTGTGTGTCGGGCCTTTGGTTCGGCGTGCGCCTAGCGCAGTAACGCAACCGACCTCGGAGACGTCGGCGGGAGTTCTGGGGAGAGTTCTCTTTTCTTTGTTGGGAGTGCGTCCACCCCCTGGGATCAGCTTGTCCGGAGATAGGGGGCTAGCCTCCGTAAAGCAACACCATTCCTGTGGTGTTCGGAACGCTCCTGTCGGCCCTTGAAAATCCGAGCGAGGCAGTATAATTTTGGTGGCAGGCCGTACTCATATCCGCAGCAGGTCTCCAAGGTGAACAGCCTCTGGCAATTGAACAATGTAGGTAAGGGAAGTTGGCAAATTGGACCCGTAACTTCGGGAGAAGGATTGGCTCTGGGGGCCGAGTCAGACCGGCCAAGATCAAATACGTGTCGGTCCAGTTGGGGGCTGGTTTCTTTGCTGCATTGTGTGCTTCGGTTTGCGTTGTGGTGAGGTTACTGGACTCTGACCCGGGTCGATCGTTGGCGGTTTGAGCTGTTAGTGTCGTGCAGCTAGCAACGCGCGAGGACTTGTTCCACGTTGCGTCAAGCGGCTGTACTTTCATGGTCTGGCGCGCGACGGCTAACTCAGAACTGGCACGGACCAGGGGAATCCCACTGTCTAATTAAAACAAAGCATTGCGATGTCCACTGATTGGATTTGACGCAATGTGATTTCTGCCCAGTGCTCTGAATGTCAAAGTAAAGAAATTCAACCAAGCGCGGGTTAACGGCGGGAGTAACTATGGTTAAAACAGCAGTTCGGAACAACGGATCTTTATTTTAACTGAACTATAAACCCACAGTCAGTCAGTCAGCTACAACGTAGGACCAGGCACATATATGCATCGGTCCAGGTTGCCATACCTCATTAGCACAGCAAGATGAACAACGGATTCATAGGAGTGGTTAGGTTAAAGGTGGTAATATATAGAAGAAAGATTACATATAAGGATACAGTACCGGAATATAGAATTAGTTCGTAGAAAGAAAGATATGAAGCGATTTTAATCTCTTAGTTTAAGGGAAGACAGGGAGTGTATGCACCGATGCCATTGTGATCGATTCTGAGCCATATCACCAAGAGTCTCCAACCATCGGTTACGAAAGTCACGCGGACCCCAACCAAGTAGTCTGCATCTAATAACACAGATCAGACCAAAAGACTCTGCATTTTGTCAGCGACTTCACCAAACAGGACTATATCATCTGCGTATTCTAAGTCGATAAGTGGACCTCCTGGTAGGAGATCAATACCCGAGAATTCAGTCGACGAAAATGTTATTTCCATTAGTAGGTCTATGATGAAGTTAAACAAAAATGGAGAAAGTGGACAGCCTTGACGGACACCACTTGAGGTTGCGAAAGTAGATGACAGTTCGCCATAAGCCCTGACTCGACTAGTAGTGTTCGAGTAAAGAGCCTTTACAAGGTTTATGTACTTCTGGGGTACGCCTTCTAATGACAGACACTGCCACAGAATCTCGCGGTCTACAGAGTCAAATGCTGCTTTTAAGTCAAGAAAGACCACCATTGTCGGACGCCGATAAGTATGCCTATGTTCTAGAACCTGACGAATGGTGAATATGTGGTCGATGCAGCCACGACCAGGTCTGAAGCCAGCTTGGTTCTCTCGTGTTTGCAGTTCACGAGTCTTAGTCGGGCGTTTAATAATTATCGAGACTAGTATTTTAAATACTATATTAGCTAAACTAATCCCTCTGTGGTTGTCACAGAATGATTTTGATCCTTTCTTATATATTGGGACGATAAGTGACTGCGGTCAGTCAGATGGGATAACGTCTAATTCCCAGATCTTGGCTAAAATATTAGTCAAACTAATCGCTAAAATTGGACCACCATCCTTAAAGACCTCTGGAGCCAAACCATCTGGACCAGCTGCTCTTCCTCGTTTTAGATTAACTATAGCCTTTTGAACTTCTGCTAGAGTTGGGGGACCTACTTCAATGTTCCATTCACACTGTCTGGGAATGGAGGGTAGTTGTAGAGTAGCTGAAGGCCAGTTGAACTGTTCTCTAAAATGTTCCGCCCATCGTTCTAAACGCCTGGACTGGGAGCAGATGAGAGTATCGTCTTTTTCCGAAATAATCTCACACTTGACCTATTAATTCCAGTTTCTTTTATTAGTCTGTAAAGCTGTCTTGTGTTCCCTATAGCCGCCGCCTTTTCCATCTCTTTTACTTTCGTTGCCCACCACTGCTCAAGGTCGTTTCTTAGACTTTTTCTTAACCTAGATCTGATTTGTTTACGCTCTTCATCATGTTCAGTACCTGATGGGATGAGTTTGCGAGAATCCATCAGTGTGATAGACCTTGAAGAAATCCACTGGTTCTTTGTAACTCTATGGTTTAAGTCTCTAATGGATGTCACTGCTGTTTCCACAGCTGATTGTATGCCTTTCCAAGCAACATCTGGGTCAGCCTCGTCTTCAGAACTACCTAAGTGTGACCTCAGTTGTTCCTGGAACCTACTTTTGGTTTTCTCGTTACTCAACTCAGTTCTAACGGGTCTTTTTAATGTGGCTTTTTTGCGTCCAGTGAGGCGCAATCAGATGCGTGCCCGTATTAGGGTGTGGTCGGAGTCCAAGCAGGTACTCCAGAATGAGTGATAATCTCGTACCGACCCTCTCCAACAATGACTGATGGCAATATGGTCTATTTGAGTCCATCGTTGGTTTGGTGTAGGGGGTCGCCATGTTAGACGATGTCTCTCCTTATGCTTAAGATTTGTGTTTGCTAAAAATAAACGATTGTCTGAGCATAGTTGCAGCGGACGATCACCATTATCTGTTCGTTGTGCCGGTATACTAAAATACCCACCTAAATGCCTTTCTGTTTGGTTTAGACTACCTATCTGGGCATTAAAGTCACCTGCTACGAGTACTATGTCTGAACGTTTAGCTTTCTGAAGAAGTTCAGATAGCTTTCTGTAAAATTCATCTTTCATTTCATCTGAGCTGCAGTCGGTGGGAGCGTAGGCAGAAACGACAAAATGGCAACGACGTGTGTCCCTATCATTCCGAGTTCTTACGGAGCCGTTTAGCCGAACAGCACATAGACGACTGTTGACGGGGATCCACTCTAGCAGTGCTTGTTCGGCCCTCATGCTTAGTGCTATGCGTACACCTACCAGTCACCAGTCCACGAGAACTGGCCATCGGGTCACCAGATACACGGAGGGTGTATCTCGTTGGTTCTCTGTTTTGGCGAGGTGAGGCTAAGTGAATAAACACACTGGGATCCCGTATATGTGTTTCCGAGATAGCACACGTCAGTGGTACGAGATTCTAGGGTTCAAGCCAAGGCAGCCTGGCGACCGATCCGACATAGTATGCGTAGGTTGAAGGTTCCCATGTGTATTTGGGAGCGACGTTTCAGTAGGCTTGGGACAGTGTTTTGAGCACTAAAATCGTTGGCTATGGTGACACTTGAGGAATAAGCCGAAAAAGGAAGCTTAGAGTTGAAAGTCGATGTAGGAGGAATAATAGGAATTGAAGAGGGAGGTTGATTATGAATACAGTGGTCTTGCGTGTTGTTAGTGGTATGAGGGCGGTTATCACTTCCCGGTTGCCCACACCATGGAAGGGTTGTTCTGGAGATACCTGAAAAGGAAATTCGATTAAAGGTGGTCTTAGTAACCTGAGAGCGTGACCGCAGTGCCCAAGGGACAACTGCCTGAGCTCGGTCACACACGACCTTTCTATAGGCAATTTTTGTGTTAGCTCCGTACTTATTGAGACCTTACCGCCGGAGACGGATATCCGTGGGATAAGGCGAGGTGTGCCTTTTTCGGGTCGACCTTTTCAACACCCGCCCCTCCTTGTGGGAAGGCAGCATCGCTGTCATGCTGGTTGTCTGAAGGAAACACCTTACTGCTGCCACACCTCTGTACAGTCAGCAGTACAACTTCTCCCTCGGACCTTGGGTTTGTTGCTTTTAGTCTTACCGCACTTCAACCGACCTGTCTGACATGGTAGGACCTTGAGGAACGGTGGTTCCAGCCAGTATAGCTCGGTTGTTTCATCACGATAGGCAAGCCCGACCACCACTTCAAGGTAGCAACAACGGTTATTCGACCAGACGGTTTGAAATGTAACATGAGCTAATATTTTACCAACTTCGGAAAAATTTCGTCTTTTCATGGCAATTATCAAGTATTTCAAAAGATTTTTTAAATCGAATACAAATCCATATTGAATCTACCAGAATAAATGACACGACCGATTGAGGCACCACAGTAAAGTATAACGTAGATGGTTAGAAGACTGACATTTGCCAAGGGATTTCTAACATATATTTTCAGGTATTTACGAATCGGTATGACGTCAATGACAAAATTTGAAATTACTATACTCTAGTAAGGTTTCAGTTAACACAATCATGACAGTGAGCATTATGGCAGTACCGCAAGAACAATATCCACATAATTAGGATACTCAGTTTAACAATATATTCTTTGCATATTAAAGAAATGTGTGACCGTTTGTGCTTTCAAAAGAAAGAGGAAAGGAGACGGTTCACAAAAAGAGCAACATCCTTATCTGTATCCTTGATAGAGAAGATGCCAGTATCCCATAAATAATAAACGTTAAATGCTCCACTTACTGAACTAAAACTTAGAAGTCCTGTAAACAAATTAACTAAATCAAGATCAGGTGGATTTTCTGTAGGTGACTGAAAATATTGAGTATTAGCCGGAACGAGTATTCTTGAAACAGCAGCATGATTAAACGGTCGTACAGGACAATTACGAATAAAATCTATGCTAGATGAAGGAAAACCAACTAAGTCAATTAGTTCCATTGCATGAGGTGATCCTAGTAAATTAAATATCATATCCAATTGACGAAATGAGCTGGATGACTAAAATGAAGAAATAAAATTCAAAATGATGTATTTGACGAAGAAACTCTGCAATGTATCTGATAAATTATCAAGAAGTTTAATTACCGATAAGATAATAATCAAGTCTCAGTGACTTATGCCAAAAATCACTTTCCTTAGATTTATTGTTATTATGGTCTGCAACGATGGTCATTGTTTGAACAATTGGTTGAGTTAACATTTTATTTTCAGGTAAATTCTACAATTTTCCTCCAGTCCTATGTTTGTATACGACAAGAATATTTCATTCTCGCATGTTATCGCTCTCATTGCTGTGAAACAAATATTACATTTCTTTTTCTGTTTACCTAGGACTTGACGACCGAAAAATATGTATAAGGAAATATTCCATTGCATACGTATCTTTCTTATAAATTTCTTAATCCGCGATATTTCTACCTAGTCCCAACTGGACGACTGTGTCAAGAGCCTGCATACTACCACTGAATAAGGAGATATACGTGATCATAGGAAAAGCGAAGTTCGGCAAAGTTAAAATAATAAATGGATCTGGAGCTAAGAGTTTAAAACCCACTTGCGCGAAAAAAAAACGAGAATAGATCATATGAAAACCGATAAGAGTCCGTCTGCATACGACCTGCAATAAATGTGACATGACATTTAAACACCGAAGGGTAAATATTTGATCCACACATACACATCCACGCTTAAACCGGGTTGTTTCCCACAGGTTAGCTGTTACCAAGTTACTTAAATGATGGGTGATAAAAAATAATAAGTCAAACAATACTAACTGAAAACATTACTTTGCGAAGATCCTATTTGATAAACTACGGTTCTCAGAGATCGAAACTACTTTGATGGTAGTATGTCGAGCTCCCGAAATCAGTCAAATTTGCTAATGAAGTGAGACCACAACTATCAGGTATTTTGAAGTTAACCTATCAGGACCCCTTGGTTCCACACAGGAAGTTACTAATGACCTCAATATTGCTGAAAGGTTAAAAACCCAGATCGACCGCCCATTTAAGCTATTTGGAGACGGTGGTCAAATAGACAGTAACTGAACACTCCCTTATGGTATTTCGAAGCCGTTTTAATTGCTTGGTCTAGGAATTAATCGAAACTTCATTTTCTAGAGAAAGTTTGGCTAAAAACTTACTTTAATCATTTGTCTCTGATAAGTTTGTTTACCTAACTGGTTCAAACCTATCTCCACTGTTTCCCCATCTCTTTTTCCTTTGAGCATTTCTGCTTCTAATCATTGAGTGAAATTTCCATCAGGCTATTTTTGTTATTTCTATTTCTTACAACTAACACGTTCCAGAAGACCGAACATCACTTTCTCCAGAGTATCTCATAAGTGCGCCCGTCTCCTTGCGGTTCCCGTACTCAAGGCATGTATTAGCTCTAGAATCAACATTCAATACTCCTCGAAGCATTGTTCGTTAGATGACGAGGCATTTGGCTAATAACATATATTTTTAAGTATCAAATTGTACACGCCCATGTGGGTTTGGAACAAAATGAAATACTTAAGATGTACAATAGAGGATTTTCTCAATGACCTCAAAACATTAGTATGTAAGAGATAGAAGTTTGTGAGAGGAACATTATGAGGATAGTGCTTAGGTTAGTCGAGGAGAGAGAATAAGAAAGAGAAGTGAAATAAAAAAAATTAAATAAATAAATAGATAAATAAAATAAGGGAGAGAAAGAACACGATACCTGGGAATCGGAGACTGCCGGGGCACACACAGATAGTCAGTCGATTCATGAAGACCAACTGAATTAAGTGAGACAATCACCAATGAAAGCGAACAAGAAACGGAGGAATGATCGGAATACGATCCTTGATAGGGGGCAGCGGACAAAGTGGAAAGAAGACATGCAGGTGTAGAAACACATCCGCATCACTCAATGAACAAGAAATAATAAAGATAGACAAGAACAGCAGAGCACCTTTTGATCAATAATGAAGTTATGAACATGAACGTTGAGCTCCTCTCATGTACGTGTTGTATATTTTGATTGAACCGTGAATTGTGTTTAGACATAGATCCCCATGATCCCGAAACGAGAAGGATAGGCGACAAAGGGATTGGGAGCTTGTCTTTTCGAGAATTCCTCTATAAGTTAGGACGACACTGTCCCAAGCCTACTGAAACGTCGCTCCCAAATACACATGGGAACCTTCAACCTACGCATACACCCGCCCCTCCTTGTGGGAAGGCAGCATCGCTGTCATGCTGGTTGTCTGAAGGAAACACCTTACTGCTGCCACACCTCTGTACAGTCAGCAGTACAACTTCTCCCTCGGACCTTGGGTTTGTTGCTTTTAGTCTTACCGCTCTTCAACCGACCTGTCTGGCATAGTAGGACCTTGAGGAATGATTATTCCAGCCAGTATAGCTCGGTTGCTTCATCACGATCAAGGTAGCAACAACGGTCGGGAATAAACCCATACTCTTCATTACATCGATTCACTGAATATACACATAAAACATACACAACTTTAACAACCACAATTCACTATGGATTATATACGGAATACAATTAGACGGGTGTATATGCGAATTCGGTAAGTCTGCCTAAGGTATCTTTACAAACACTAGTGTGACTATCATAACTGTAGTATTGACGCTTTGTATTACTATTATTATTACTTAAGTTATCTGTCATAATCGTTTTTTCCAATATTTAATCACAATTCCTGCAAATTTTCGTTTTTCACAACGTAGTGTCTATTTATTAACCTTGTGTTCCAATAGGCTTTGTAACTTCACAGTTGTTCTTGAAAACCTCTTAATACTTTTCTAATATTTCACTACACTTCCTTCAATTTTTGGTGTACAACGTTGTGCTGCATCCACTTCCATTTTATTTCTTACCTATAATCAACCTGGGCTGTAACCCAGCTTCTCACAAGCCTGTTTCTAGTACCTCAGCCTTACGTTTGAAAGTGCTTATACATTTCTTTGTTGTGTTTGTTACTCAATCTGCGTTTTCCTAGTATCTAATCACTATTTCTGCATCTTTTTGTATAAAATTCGTTGGTGCATCTACTTCCGATTAATTTCTTACTTATATTCATGCTGGACTGTTACTTCGCTGCCAACCTCCCGCGAAAACTTATACATTATTATTGTTTGTTCTCGTGTTTCTTTTGTTTTGGCTTTTGCTGTGGTTGTTTGTGTTTGTTTTTGAATTATTTACTTTGTCAAGTGGTGATTGGGCTGTCTCCTAATCACTGTATCATTAGTCACGGAGAGGGCCTATGAACGGTCCGTGACGCGAATAATAATTCGTCCTCAACTGCTAGCGCGTTCTGAATAACGGACTTTCTGGCTTGTCAGTTGTGTCAACGCAATATCAAAAGATGCTGGTCTCAGCCCGCGCCGAAACTGACACAACCTCTCTACTACCTGATCCCTTTTCTTCTAATCCTTCGTCCAACCACTCATATTCAGACTTCTTCCACTTGTCTCATATGCTTCGGTGTCTTCTCCACACAACGAGACTCTGCTTGCGCATGTCTCGGCAGCTCACCACACAGTCTGCCCTCCATTTCCTACCCAACGTGATGTAGAACAGCTATTATGTATTCTTTGTGCAGCGATTTTTCCATCCAACAGAGGTTTATCACAACATATCCGCCATCGACATATCTGTGAATATAATGAAATGCTCCAACGACGAATCAAGTCTCAGCCCGTGTCACGCATATAGTCGCAGTCTGATGATGCTTCGCTCCTGACGATCACGGAACGTGAAGCTAAACATTTTTCCACCAAAAATGACCTGTGCCAACATATATCAACAATAATGACACGTAGGACTGCAGAAGCTATTAAACGACGGTTCCTACACTTACACTGGACGAAACCGTCTACCCCAACCCCAGACGTCATTTCGTATCAGATCGCTCTCAGCACACCCAATACCGACCCTACCACGTCCCAGATGCCGCTTACACCTATACTAAACACTGAAGCTCACGAATCACATCCCCCCGTTAACGACTCCCTAATAGACCTCAATCAAGCCCAACTGATACTCGATGCCACAACCTTGCCAGAAGTGTCACCGCCCCTACTACCGCAGTTTCTCGTCATCTTAACACCACTATCGTCCCCGACCCAACTACGAAACCCTCATCCAGATACGGCTCCCAACCTCTTTATAAACCCAATGCGAATACCACAGAATTACACCTGTGACTTAGACGTGTCATTTGAGATGTCTCCTCCTCGATTAATACACTCAGACACTGACAGTTATCAGCGCTCATCAGTCGCACAGGAAAACCTATTGACAGCGGCAGTAGGCCTCCTCCAAAAGGAATGCACTAAAATTAGATCCTCTACCCTACTCGCCTTTATACAACGCGACATCAGGAATATGAGCGCTGAAAATGTATCCGCCTTCTTTAACAGCCATGCAGATATGGCCTTCCCTAGAACATATGTTCCCTCCGAACCGAGGTATCAATATCGCTTCCACTCCAATATTTCCCGAAAGAAGATGAGGAAAATCGCTTACGCACGTATGCAGACACTGTTTCACCACCGTCCAGAAGATGCTGCTAACACTGTTCTGGATGGTCGGTGGATGATACCCCCTGCTGCTAGTCCATCTGACATTCAAAACCTCGACAGCTTCTGGACTTCTGTCATGACTAACTCCAGCATTGGGGATAACCGGGAAATCATGCAAATAGTCGACACCATACAATCCCTCATCGAACCGATCTTCCCCTCCGACGTAGTGTTGGCGTTGAAAGAAATGCATGGTACGGCCGCAGGGATCGACAGATTGACGTCATATGACCTGCTGAAATTTGAAAAGAGTGCTCTGGCCGGTTACCTAAACACGCTGCTTGCCCTAGCGCGTCTCCCCACGAATTTGGCAACCTCAAGAGTGACGTTCATCCCTAAGTCACCAAATCCTACATGTCCCCAAGACTACCGCCCAGTAAATGTGGCCCCAACGATAACTAGGTGTCTACACAAAATCCTAGCCAGAAGATGGGTGCGTCTATTCCCTCAAGAAAGGCTTCAATTTGTCTTCCTGCACCGGGACGGTTGTTTCGAAGCAGTTAATCTTCTACACTCAGTCATTCGGCATCTACACACACACACACACACCACACAGGAGGCTCCTTCGCCCTGCTAGATATTTCGCGAGCATTCGACACAGTCTCACACAACTTCATCATCAGAGCATCAAAACGATACGGCGCACCTGAACTATTATGTAAGTACCTAAGCAACTACTACGGTGACGCCACCAGCTGTCTCAATACCACAGAATGTCATCCAACATGTGGAGTTAAAAAGGGTGATCCACTTTCTCCGCTACTATTTATCATGGTCCTTGACGAAGTTCTGGAAGGTCTAGACCCTATGACCCACTTACAAATTGACGGAGAGGTTCTAAACTACATCGCATATGCGGATGACCTTGTGATATTCGCTCCAAATGCAACGCTGTTACAACGAAAACGGAACCGCATCTCCTCACTTTTGCACAACGCGGGATGGTCAATAAACCCTGACAAGAGCCGAACGGTAAACCTGATTGCCGGGGGCCACAGCAAACTTAGAGCTCTTTCCCAAACAGAATTCACCGTCGCCGGAACGCGTGTCCCACCATTATCCGTTTCAGACTCCTTTACATACCTAGGTATACAGTTCAATTTCAAAGGTCGGTGCCCAATTGACCATATCGAATCATTAAAAAACTACCTACTAGAGATTTCAAGCGCTCCCCTTAAACCGCAACAGCGCATGAAAATATTAAGAGATAATCTATTGCCTAGACTACTCTATCCCCTGACTCTCGGAGTGGTTCATAAGAATACTCTAAAATCTATGAACCGAACGATACACGCCTCTATCAGAAAATGGCTAAGACTACCCTCTGACACCCCACTGGCGTATCTTCATTCCCCCATTGCTGCAGGCGGTCTCAGCACCCCACACTTGACTTCATTAATTCCGCTCCACCGCCGTAAGCGGCTAGAAGCCTTATCAGCGCCCAACAGACTGCTCCACAAATTACTCACATCACCGGCTCTAGCCTCCTATTCTCATCTTGGCCAAATGCAGGTCCGTATTGGACAAGAACGTGTGACGTCGAAAGAAGAGATATCCCGATGTTGGGCGAGATAACGGCACTTATCCAACGACGGGAAGGGCCTTCTTCTTGCACAAGACAGTAAGGAGTCGCACACATGGTTACGCTGCC